GAATCACTCCCAGACAGTTTTATCCCCTCAAGAAGCAGAAACAGAACCAAACAGTCATAGGAGATCAAAGTGAAGAGTAATGAAAGACAAGAGTTTGCCTGGCAAATATACAATGAGACAGCCCTCTTAGTCACATCTGCATGTGAAAGGTAATGCTGACAAATGATTTTTGTCTCAATAAAGGATTTGATGACGACTCCTCTCACATCCCATTAATTATGATCAGCCGACACTGTGGCAAAAGTCATTTTACTGTTAGTCAATAAGCGCTCTGTGTCACTGGCATTACTGAGATAAATACAGCTGCTGGGAGGGAGGGGGTATAGTAGGATACATAAACAGGATGCATTCAAGATATTTAGTGGTGTTAAGTGAAGGACGTGGATATACATTGAACAGTTTCCAGGCCTTCAGCGCGACATGGGGCCCCCTAACAGTGTAGCTGACACTGTAGACTTTAAGTAGATTGTAAAAAAAAGAGACTAATGGCAAGAACATCCCTGTACGACCGACACTGGCTACAGCGAAGAGCTAGCAAAGCAGCACAAAAGAGGAATCCTATTATTATTTCATCAGTTTCACACATTTCAGACATTTTCAGTTCACAACACTCATTAAATACATTTCCTTACATTGAAAAAAGAAAAAAAAGTAGACTGTAGCGGTCAGATACATGGCACTTATGAGAAGTTCAAATCCATTGATGCTTTTCCATTGTTTTGGTTTCAATACAAATTTAAACGTGTTTGGCAAGACAAGCACAACCAAACCTACATCCATTTTGGTCGTAGTAGTAAGTAGTAGCTGGAACCTAGCCCAGCTGTCATGGGTACACCCTAACATAGACACAGGATGCCATCCACACCTATGACCAACTTAGAATTGCCAGTTAAGCTAACATGTATGTTTCTGACTGTGGGGGAACCTGGAGAACATGCGGACTCCACCCCGTCACATATTCAGAGCCTGGTGTTCATATGTTGACAGGGACTGGAAAAATTAATCTTACGAAACAATCTTTTCAAGCAACTGAACCAAAACCTCCAAGTAAGCACATTTTTTTGCTGTTTGTGCTGTCTGGAGCTCATAAACTCGCTGATGTATCACACAGATACACAAACACCTACACACAAGACTCTTATTACATTCAGAGCTGGAAGTGACCCACAGCACTCGCCTTGTTCTGTCAGTCACTGTGAGGTCGGCTTTCCCTGCCAAACAGCAGCTTGCACATCACTTTCCCTGCAACCCTCCTGGTATCAGCAGACTGAAGCCAGTGGCCAGCAACTTCCTGACGCTGACGCTGTTGGTGTTCCATATCGCTCTGACTCATTAGAACCGTGCAGATTTCCCATGACATTTGTGTAACAGCCAAGCTGAGTGTCTTCTAAGTCCGGTTTACTGTGCTTTTAGGCAGTAAATGCTTCTGAAATGAAATAATATTGGGTTTACGTGTACACACTGCACACAATGGCTCACGGTGGCAGTTGTATAAATGTTTTGGTTCATGATTTTGCTGGAACAGATTGTTATTCAGGATGTCAACTTCAAGTTCAGTTGGAGGGGGGCACCTAATTGCGCACAGAGATTATCTTTCTCATTTTTAATGTCTTTAAACAGAAAAAAACATCATTAAGTGACACCTTGCTGTAAAGAAAACAAGAGCGACTGCATGCTTCATACCTACAACTTGATGGCAACACCGCACCCCCTGCTGAGTACACATGAATGTCTGCCAATAATAACACATGAGGGTGCCAAAAAAACAAAACAAAACAAAAATCACATGCACTTTATGTACCACCCTGTTTTCACTCCAGATTGAACTGGACCACCCTGGTGCTTAAGTCTACTAACACTTCAAGTGTTCCTCACCAAATCATTGCAGGTACTCTGTAATAAGACGGCTTCCATTTCCCTTTGGGGAGCGATGTCTTTTTTATGACATGGAAACTAAACGCGTTACATCGTTGGAAAAGCCATTTCACAAATCTGGGTGGAAGAAAGGGGAAATACCGCCAAATGAGAGTTTGTTTAGTTAGCATGACAAAATTCCTTCCACTTCCTGAAATGAAAATAGCCACGTCTGTAAAAGTTCATTTGAACCACAACGTTGATAATGAAGCATTTAAAAAAAAAAAAAGATCTTTGTACACAAATACATAAACTGAAGAGAGTCACAGTGTGACAGAAAGAAAAAAGTAATTAAAACTGTTTTTAAAACAGGGTAAAGGTCGTAGGCAGAGGGAAATACATATGAAGATGGAAAATGTTATAAATTGATCCATTAAAAAAATAAAGTGCAGAAGCATATGGGGAGCTGGATGGAGCACAGGAAAAACTCTGAGTCGGTGTAGGTAGCAGATTTACAGGGTGGCATATAGTGGGACATATAAGTGAGTGAGTGCATCTAAATGCATGAATTTGCCTTTGTAGGCTGCCTTGATTCAATGACATGATTTTCCTGTTCTTCCTTACTTTCCCAATTTCAAAATGTCTTTCAAAAATACGAAAATAAAGCACCTTTATTGTACCACTTATACGCTAAAGGGCACAAATGCTTTCCACTGGGACACTACTCTCTGTTTGTTAGCAGACATGTTGTTTCTATCAATACTGATCATTTTATACCTCAGCATAAATTTGGTTGGGATAGAGTCGATATTCTCTATTGTCTGTTTGAGCTTTCCAGTTATATAATACTAAGGCAAGTTCCTTATTCCAGCAGGGTAATTGCTGTGAGTATGTTACATTTTTTCTTTATGTTATTATTATTAGTAGTAGTAAGCGGCTAATATATTAATATTATACTGTAATATTATAGATAAGGCTTCCCAGCAGTATATAATTACCAGCTATCAAGAGGTTTTGTGTCAGCCAAATGTTATTACCACAGTTGCACAAAGGGGTAATAAATGAAGGAACTGACTATTTCAGTATACATACAGAAGTGATGATATTTTACATGATGTGCAGATAACTGCAGATAAGAAAAGTGTGCCTTAAATCTTTCCACGCCCTTGGGATGGCTTTGGCACCAAATGTTTTGAAAGAACCACCCAGAAGAAAGGGGAAACACCTCCACCGAGACAGTCTGTTTAATTAGAACAATAAAATCATTTTACTTCCTGAAATAAAAAAAAAACCATGACTTTGTAAAATTGATGGTTCGTTTGAGTTGCCGCTGATTGTAAGACAACATAAAAAGACTCAATCAACACTAATTCAGCACAAATACAGGACAAAAATAAATAACAAACCCAAGACTCTGCTATAACTTCATAGTGATGCTACTAGAATACAATGTATTTATGATATTCTTTAATTTTCATGCAACGGTCTCCATTAGGTCCGGGTATTTTGTAGCCACAGAGCAATGTCGTTACATTGTCACCGATTGGCAATGTTAAAAATGATAACTAAAATGCCATTCGCCCTCTCCATTATTGATGGATTTTTGGGGGTCCAGGCCTGCCTAAAAATGTGAATTGAGCCCTCTGAGCTGATACACTTCTGCAACCATTATTTAAATCAAGTCAGAAAGTTCGGTAATGAAAAAGTAAACACCCGTGATGCCATAAAGCCGCAATGTAAGTTATTGCAGCACAAGCTGAAGTTAATAATTTGTAGTTTAGCGCTTCTGCAGCAATAGCAGTAACCAGCAGTGATGGAGAAGGGCACTGACGTTGGAACACATGGCTCTGTGGAGGTTACAGTTTGGAAAGTACCTTGTATGTCGTTTTGGAGCTAAAAACAGGTCATTCATCTGGTTGTGCAACTACTCTATATGGACACACGTACTGGGCCACACCTCTTTCGAATTCAGATGTGCTCAGTCCCATTGCCACAGGTGTATAAAGCAATTCTGACTGCTTTTACGACATTTGTGCAAGAACAGGTCATTGCAAAGATTTACTAAATTTTGTGTGATCAAGTATAAGTCATATCAGTGAAAAGTTGAAGTGTTAAGGAATCATAGCAGCTGTGAAGTTACAAGTGCAGTGGCGCATAGTGCATAGTTGCATACCTCCTGTGGCATTAATGTTAGCACAAACGATGTGCACCAAGAAATTTATGGTATTCATAGGTTTCCAAGGATAGGCAGTTCCTGAAAGTGTAATGTGTAGGTGGCCAAGAACTTTTGCTTTCTTGTGTGGCAAAAACTAAAACTAATTAAATTCATCTGACATTAAATATTTAAATATATTATGTATTTAAATATTTAAAGGAGAACTGGTGGTATTTCAGATGAGATACGTGCTCTTTTCTGAGTATGAGAAGACAGGTGCACCTGAAAGTTTTGGCTCACCTTGTGAATAACCTTTAGCACATATCTATCTAAACACATGTTTGTTTAGATAGCATAATAAAATCCTTTCTGCTTCCTCAAATGAAAAGAAAGGGTGACGTCTGTAAATCACAAGTTAATTGATATGATTGCTAGTTATAATACAACATTTAAAAAAAGACAGGACACACTGGAGAGATTATGTCTTATGTCTATGATGTATTGACAAAAGCAAGATGTTGTGGGTGCATGTGCCACCCCACTGAAAAAATCCTGGAAACGTCCCTGTTTCAGACCTCCTTTTCCTTTCCTTCACCAATGACACGAAGAAGGTGGGAAGATTTGGTAGTTCTTACAGATAACACTGTTATCTGCCGGTTTTACGTTACTTCTGTGTTCCCAGCTATATAACAGCAAAATATAGCCTAGCGGTGGTCAAAAAATATTAGCTACTGCACATTGGAGAGGCTCTCTTAGAAACTTCTTGTCAACCCGCAGAAGGTTATGCAATATTTTTAAGTAATCTTGTCTTATTTGGTGTGCACAGTCTATAAGGATTACCCTGCTCGCTCGCTCACTCACTCTCCCTGATAATCTGCTGATGATGACGTTATGCTGCAGTTCCTGGGCTTCAGTTCTCGCGAGGTTACGGGAATCCAGACGCTCTCTCTCTCTCTCTCTCACTCTCAGTTCCCCCTCCTCCCCAGCCCTCCCTTCCCACGCCCCACTGCGCTGTGGGATAGTGGCACTATAAAGTATATCCTCTCTCGGCGAAAGATAAGAAGCCCGAGACAGGAGGGGGATGAAGATGGCGGACGCCAAGCAGAAGCGGAATGAACAGTTAAAGCGATGGCTTGGCTCGGAAACGGACCAGGAGCCTCCTGTTTTGAAAAAGAAAAAGACGAAGGTGAAGTTCGATGATGGCGCCGTGTTTCTGGCCGCCTGTTCGAGCGGCGATACCGAGGAGGTGCTCCGAATGCTTGACCGGGGCGCTGACATCAACTACGCCAATGTAGACGGTCTCACCGCCCTCCACCAGGTTTGTGTTAGCTTGCCGTGTGTGTTTATGTCAGCAGCCGGTACCATTAGACATAAATATCGACTGGCTGCTAGCAAAAGCTTACCCTGGTACACCTGTCAAATGGAAGCCATTCTCATCCCGTTGTTTACCTACCTAGCATACTCGTCCTTCTCGACGGAGAGAAGGGATGAATCCGTTGGCTTCCTCCTGAGGCTGTTTAACTGGTAAACCGCGCTAACTATGCATACACTTGTCTGAGTATAAGTGGCAAGAAGCAGCAGAGTCAAACACCTAATTTACAGGGCTAATTCTACTTTATGCCTCCATAAACTAGCCTGAGTCTGTAGGTGCAGTCTAATTGCAGTACTGCTGCATTTTTCGGGTTGAAACATTGGCTCGGTTTTATGTTGTAAATGCAATCAAGCCAGACAAGCTCCTAGTGTCTGTGTGGTCAATTGATTATTGTCGGATCCCATTTAGTGTGTTTGGAGCTTAATATAAATGGTGTTCGTGCAGAATGAACCCAGCAATAGATGGCTGCTACCTGGTTAGCAGTAAAAGTCGTTTTGTTGATAAACCCTCCTCCTCGACTGTGGCTACTCTCTGGAGAGGAAGCAGAAGCTACCTTGCTAACTAGCTTTAGATACAACGTCATTCAGATACAGGCTAATGTTACGATTGCAAAACAATGATTGTTTGTTACTCTGACTTAAAAAATGCAGTCCCTCATTAATATTGGGCATATTAGTTTAATTGCCAGGAAAGAATGAATGGTAACAGCGCAGTATTAGCCCAGCGGAGTGTCTGCTAACGTACTTTAGCATGCTAAGATAAATGTCGTTAGCTGTGTGGGGCTTTAGCTGAAGTTAATTCATTCATTAACTGACCTGAGAAACGGCGTCAGCGGTAAATTATGGGCCTCATAATTTTATGCTGTTTTGTGTATAGTTAATCGGAAACGCCTGTGTCTTTAGCGCTTTTGCTACACCGGGATGTTAACCGTGCCAAGCTAGTCATTTGCCCGCTAACTGGGGTAGCTACTTTCACTAGCATCTGTACTTCCACAGCCGATAAACTGAAAATGGCACCTCATCTTGATGGGTTTTAGGCGGTGTGAGGTAGTTTCAGTCCAAATGGGGTTTAAAGCCTGATTTAAAAGCTTTAAAACCACCATGGATCCAGTGATGGAAGTAGGTTGCTTGTTGGTGCAGTAAGCTTACTTAAAGTTGTGACCAGGTTAAGTCCAGTGAGGTGTGCAAAAGCTAGACTAGAATTAAACGTAAATAACAAAGAACCTGGTCGTGTAATTTATGAATTTGTTTCTGTTGCTTCAGAGGTAGCTTTTACCATTAAACAAGTACAGTTTGTGCTTATTGGATCAAGTCATTACGGGTATACTGTTAGCTTTTACAGTGACACTTTTCTAAAGATATCTTGCTTATTTTGTACCAAGAACATTGTAGTTAAGTGTTTTTACTGTTTGGTGGAAATAAGCAGGGTGAAGGGTTTGGGGGATTTCCCCTTTCTGACTGCATGTTTCTGCCTCTGATAAATAATTTTTCATTCCCACTGGAAAATAAACTTTTATTTCCCCCCCCCCCCTCCAGGATTTTTGCAGTGTCTTGAAACAGTCAACAGTGCAAACATCAGTCCAATCAGAAACTGATCTCACTTTCAGTGCTTGTGAGGCTGCTGGGGTGAGATGATCAGGATCTGTTCCATTCCAGCTTTTCATTAAGCCAAACTGTAACGGTGGATCTCTGGATCCAGAGAGTTGCAAAAAACATCAGAAATATTGTGTGCCAACCAGTTGCCTCTGTGTTGACATCAGAGTTCTCTCCAAAGGTGATTTGTGCAGCTTCTTCTTTCTTCTTGTTGAGTTGCGGCTCAGCACCAGGACTGTTCTCTGCAACATCCTGCAGTCGTTTGTCGCCTTTTGCGTGATGGCGCAACTGCTGTGATAGGCTGATGGAGAGGGGCAGAAGTATTTGGTTTAAAAAGATCAACCTTAACCTGACCTTCGTTCACAAGTTAGAACATGCTGTCGAACATATTACAGAGAGTCAGATAATTTCCACATGTTTATTAACACTCAAACTGGAAAGTCTGCTGCTGACAGAGACTTTATAGATTCAGGTAAAAGAGGGTGATGCGTTTTACATGATGAGCCACAGGGAAGCAGAAAAACTCTGTCATCAAAGCAGACCGTTTCGTTTTGATTTGTAATGTGCCATAGTGGAATTTTTATTTATCTAATTAATTTTTTTTAATTGACAGCATTTTGTGCTGTTTACATTTCGGGTTATTTCATATTAAACATTGAAGCTATGAAGCTAACATCCTCTGAAGGGGGAAATGGTGGTTGCCCCTCGATATTTTTTTTTTCTTCTCTCCCTACGTATTGCATCCTGGATATCAGTATTTTAATTTGAAGAAATAAAGGATAATGCTAGTGGAAATGAGCATTTGTTTATCTTGTTTGCACTAGCGTGGATAGTGTTTACATGATGTAAGGATTTACAAAACTATTCACATTAAATGTTTTATACTTGCATAGATCTCCTGTGATGTCACTTCATTACTCATGTCCACATGTCTCGTCTTAGTAATTATGAGCACTGCTTTATGCACCACCTTGCTCCCATGGTGTGTTTGTTCTCCAAGACTTAGGCCACTGCACAGATTAAAAGTTTTAAAAGCAGGTTTTAAGGCATGGGTCATCAGCTTTATCTGTATGTGATTCATGCACGTGAATATTTTTTTTTGTTTTTGTTTTTTTTTTGGGGGGGTTTTGCATTAATTAATCCTGCTGGTAAATTGACCTTTCTTCAAGCTCGTAGTCTGCTTTAATGAAATCTGGAATTAGCATGAGCCCCTCAATGCAAACTCATTGGGTGGAAATGTTGCCTTTTTTTGGGCTGATGTCCAGAGATGAACTTGAGTGAGGAAAGAATTTGAAGTGCGGCTCTCCGGACATAACCATCTCTGGAGACGAGGGGCTGCTCTGTCTGTGTGTTAAAGGCCATGTGATCTCTAGGTTTGGTGTTTTACCAAGGAGCTGAGGAGGGGTGATGGAAGGATTTGTGATTAAAGGGCGAATCCCAGGTTAAACTGCTGTTAATTTTCTTAAAGATGAGCTGAACAGTCAGTTGCCTCTTTTGTCTTAATGTCTTTGTGTGGCTTTTCTTGTTGCATTTTAGATAGACCAAAAAATACCCCTCCAGATAATAGCTATCCTCGTGAATGAGTGACCTCTCTTTGTTATGAAATGTGCCATGTTGCTGCATGAGGACTTGATCACTGGTGACCGGTGCAGGTTTATAAATACCACCACAGCCAACACAAGTTCTCCTAACTGGGTTTCAGTAGATGATACTAAGTTTGGGTATGACTCAGTCTGTAGCTTTGCTTTGTAGTTCAGCTCTAGTATAATCTCACATTTAGGCAAGAGGTTGCCTCCGTGAGTCATGAACCTTGTGTTTCTTTAAAAATGACCTGTTGCTGATGAACCTATAAACATGTCAATGTCTTTTTGCAGACCTCTTAAGGTGTGTGTAAGGTGATGGTTGACCAGTGATGATGATCAATGATGTCACTATGACTGTGTACAAGCAAGAGCATCAAGGTGAAAAGTCACACTGTTGCCAGGCTCAGTCCAAAGGACTTTGAAGTTCAGTTGCAACACAAACATAAGGACCAACGTCACATATTTTCTTCTCACAAACCTCAAATATGCACATTTTGCAAGATTTAAAAATATTTATGCAACTCTTATTGCGATTACCATGCCGGACAAAGCGATATACCACCTCATGCAGATGTAAACAAATGGAGACTTTGTTGCAACAGCTTGCTGGGGCGCTGGCAATGCTTTGCACTGGAAAACAAAACAAAATAAGAAGCCTGACTGAATCTGAGAAAATGGTTGGTGAGACAAGACCAGCATGGGTTGTTGTTCTTCAGTGAGAACTCGGTAGTATTTCTAAATACTAGTGTTCTAGATAATATTAGCCTTAAGGGCTAGAGTGTCAGTAATACTTGCTGTGGGACTTGAAGTGTATAGGCATTAACTTTATTTGAGATTGATTCATTCATTCATTCACTCTTCCTGAAGACACAATTGTAAATGTAAATATCAGACATGTTTGATATTATTTGGGTAACTCTTCTGAGTCTTTGAGCCATTCCAGAGATTTAAGACTGGTTCTTCAATTTCTCACATTGTCAATATTTTTGTCCTGTTTCACCTCAAGGACCTTGGTGGGTACTGATATTTGGCACTCCTCTAGTCTAAGTCTAAGCCGGTATTAGAGAAACATTAGTGTTTCGATAGCTGATTTGAATTTGTGACGTGATTTACTGAGACAGATTGGTTCACCCAAAACACAGACTGCACGGATGCAGGTTGAGGGTAGAGATGGGATGTTTCAGTGAACTAGGGATCCCTTAGACAAGCGGAGATTCCAGATCACATTGGCTAAATTCGTCCCAGAGCTGTCGCATTCCAAGTCCTGTAGTTCTAGCCCGTGCATTCCTCACATGACGGCCGCTGGAAACCATAGCAAAGAGGGAGCAGAGAAGACATTCCTCAGCTGTCACCTAAACCCCTCCCCTTCAGTCATTCCCTCTCTGGCTTGACTTTCCCTATACAATGCCAAAGCCCAGCTGACTGGTGCTCACTGAGCTCCACTGAAGCAATTAGAGTGGAGGGGCTTGTCGCTTCACACAACAAAATCTACCCGCTGACCTACACCTGAACTTTTTCTTTAGCGCTCAGGGTCTCTGACCCCCCCCCCTCAGACCAAGGTGACAGGTTTCAGCTCAGCTTAACATGTCATAGCTGGACATTACAATGCCCATGCTCTGTTGACATTACACACCCTCATTATTGCCCTAAAGTCTATGAACATTATCTTGCCTCGTCTCCATGACGACTCGAGGGTTGCTAGTCACTTGTGTTGGTGGATTTGCATGAACAGAGTGGGAGTTGCATAACAGACTGAACAGAGAGAGACTCT